ACTCCTGAAACATGTTTTCCGAAAAAATGACTGATTTTCTGAAAAACATTTTAATTTCCTGTGTTTGGTTGCATTCTAGAAAATATAGAATATACTTTCCATTGATTGAATTTTCCTACTGCATCCAAACACTGAAAATTCAGAAAATATTTTCCAAAAATTATTTTATGAGTTTCAAAATGGATCCTTAGTTAAGAATGTAGGAGTCCCATCCACTCAACCGCACCCTCCCGATTATACAATATGTATTATTTTTGGATATATTCAAAATTTTCACCGTCAAACACAATGACTAATCTCCTTACTGAATTGTAAGCACCTCTTTTAAATGAGACAGCTGATCTGAAGATTTAATTCTGCTCCATTCCCAAAGTCAAAGATGGAATCTTAACTTTTGGTTAAGGATTCATATATTATTAAATGTTCCTCATCTCATCAAGAATCGGGAGTGTGTAGTACTGTTAAATCTTGGCCGTGGAAGGCTGACTTTGTGGGACCACGTAGACAACTGATATGTGATATCTAGTTCGACCAGATATAAATGGGCTTCAGGTTCTGATGGGCCTCCGGAACATATCAGTACAAGAAAAAACAAACGGCCCAAGTTTCAACTTGTTCGGCCCGGTTCCGTGCCAAACAAGGTCTTAACTCTCAAGCCGCCAGAAGACAGTGAAACATAATCATAAATCTATTTTAATTGGGAGAAGAAATTTATTTTAATCCGAAAAAAATCCTCATTGGCAAAGAAGGCTCGTTCTCTCACTGCATTTCAACGATTTGCTCATCCTCTTTTCCCTCTCGCTCCGCCGGCCGAAAAGCGTTCGCCGTCGATCCGTACAATCTACGGCATCTCCGATTAACATTAGCAAGCAGCGAATCACACTGTTCGTGCGTAATCACGGGGAAATAGCGCATCTTCGTGTTTAAATTAACTCCAGGTATTTTCGATTTCAATACAGAAGCTTATTATGCTCAATTTTCGACTAGGAACATCAATTGACCTTGTTAGGGTTTCGTTTCAATAATCTAAGGAAATTACTTTGGTACTTTTTCAGGTGTGGGATTAAAGTTACAACGGGTTCATGGCTCATAGGCTATTGAGAGATGTTGAAGCTGATGGATGGGAGCGATCTGACTTTCCGATTATATGTGAGTCGTGTCTTGGTGACAGTCCATACGTTCGAATGGTAAGTATCGGTGGCTTTATTTGTAATAGGTGACTAGGGTTAGGGCTTACTTACTTTATTTATTTATTTATTTTTTTAAATTATTACTTGCAGTTTGTTTTTGATGTGTTTTACTGAACTCTGAATGAAGCCATTGCTATGCTTGGTACTTCCCAATTATATGCCTCAGGGATTGGGGGTTTAGCTTTTCATGTTCATGTGCTTCTGTTTTTGCTGTATCTGCATCGACATGCATGGTAGTTTCAGGGTATATATGTTGTCAGTTGTTTTGTGGTGACTATCCAATGGTTAAGTCTTATTTTAATAACTGTAAAACACCATCTATTCATTGCAGCTTCTTTTTGGAATAATTATGTTAATCAATCCACTTCATTGCCTTGTTATAATTACAATGATTCAATGCAGACTAAAGCTGATTATGACAAGGAATGCAAGATTTGCACCCGACCCTTCACTGTTTTTAGGTGGAGGCCAGGTCGAGATGCTAGATACAAGAAATCTGAGATATGTCAAACCTGCAGCAAGTTGAAGAATGTTTGCCAAGTTTGTCTTCTGGATCTTGAATATGGATTGCCAGTTCAGGTTCGAGACACTGCGCTTAGTATCAATTCCAATGATGCCATTCCAAAGAGTGATGTGAATAGAGAATACTTTGCTGAGGAGCATGACCGCAGGGTATGTAAATTTCTAGCAGGAAGCCCACTTTATATTTAAATTAACACTAACTGAAGTTCTCTCTCTCTTTCATTTTTGATAAGTAAATAGTTGGCCATGATATCAAAATAATTGCTTTCTACATGTACAGTTTTTTCTTTTTTGGTGCACTATTCCTCAGCTCTATGAATACAATTTTTGCTCATTGCAGGCCAGAGCCGGGATAGATTATGAATCTTCGTATGGGAAGGTCCGTCCAAATGATACTATTTTGAAGCTTCAACGAACTACCCCATACTACAAGAGAAATCGAGCTCATGTTTGCAGTTTTTATGTTCGGGGTCAATGTACAAGAGGTTTGGAGTGTCCTTATAGGCATGAGATGCCTGAAACAGGGGAGCTGTCACAACAGAATATTAAAGACCGCTACTACGGGTATATATAATTGATTCTTGATTCCTAAAACTCAAAATATGATAATTAATACATTAACATTGATGCAAGCATGCGTTAAGGCACACATTTGCATTTTGTGCATGCGGTTTTTGTAGTTATACTTAGCATAAAATTTTAAAATATGCCAACTTTACTTCTCCAGTCATCATTTTGCTCTTCTTTGCTTTTTTTTTTTGTTCTAGTAGTAACTTTTATATATACTTGTCTATGTCCCTTTGATATATGAATATGATAGTCTTGATGTTATTCATTTCATTTGAAATGCTTGCAGGGTAAATGATCCAGTTGCATTGAAGTTGCTCAGCAAGGCTGGTGAAATGCCTTCTCTGGAGCCCCCAGATGATGAGAGCATTAAAACCCTCTATGTGGGTGGGGTTGATGCAAGGATCACTGAGCAAGACCTTAGGGATCAGTTCTATGCACATGGTGAAATTGAGTCTGTAAAGATGGTATTGCAGCGTGGGTGTGCTTTTGTAACTTACACAGCCAGAGAAGGAGCAGAGAGGGCAGCTGAGGAACTTGCAAACAAGCTGGTAATAAAGGGCCTGAGGCTAAAACTACTCTGGGGAAGACCACAGGCACCAAAGCCCGAGTTTGAGATCACTGATGAAGCAAGACAGCAGGCTACTGTGGCTCATAGTGGTTTGTTGCCAAGGGCTGTGATATCACAGCAGCAGAACCAGCCTCTCCCGCTCCCTGGTGGTAGCCAGGACCAACCTCCACCACCTATGCCTTACTTCAACATTCCACCAATGCCTCAGCCGGACAGGGCATTGTATCCTTCTATGGATCCTCAAAGAATGGGAGCCGTTGTTCCATCACATGAAGGTGCTGCTTCAGGGTCGGGCGAAAATAGAAGTGGTCCTGATAAGCAACCCCCACATGGACACCATTTTGCTTATCCGCCTGGGCCACCACCACCCCAGGGCCAATTTTACCCACCTTATTATCCACACTATGGGTATATCCCACCTCCCCCACCGTCTTATCAACAGTACCCTCCTCCACCTTATCAGGCTACAGTGCCTCCACCACCTCCCGGCGGCAGCCAGGCACCACCTATGCAGCAGTCACAGCCCGGAGCAGGCCAGCAAAGGCCAGTACCACAAGGACCAGGACAACAAGAACCGGGACAACAGTCTTAATACCTGCACCCTTGTTACTGTTGGCTTAATTGCTGTTGTCAGAAAATAATTACTTTTTCTGGTCTAGTCTTTGCCTTAATTACTGTTGTCAGAAGATAATTACTTTTCTGGTCTAGTCTTTGCCATTTAAACTCTAAGAAATTGACTTTGTTGAGCGACTTAAGATTTGTTTCTTACAATTTTACATGACCCCAGCGGTGATTATGTAATGAATATGTCTTGAAACCATGAATTAGCAGAAATGAAGTTTAACCTTTTCCTTGTTCTCTAATTGTGATATAAGTATTTCCCACTAGTTTATGTGTTAGGAGTAAAGAAAGAAAATTGAGCTTCTGCCTTCTAGTGTGGATAGAAAGAAGAACTAATGTGGTAAAAAAACTTCAATTCATTTATTATAAACGACAACTCCATTCTTTCCCTCAATCTTTTATAAACGACAATTTATTTCTCCATTTCATTGTCACCACAGCTTCCTTTCATTCCTATTTTTCATTCAACATTAGGCAACTCTAATTAATAATTCCATTGTTTGGAACTTTTTAGTATTGTAATTTTTCGTGTAACTTAATGTTAAATTATACTCAATTCTTAAACAATTTGTTCGAATATAATTCTCCTTCCTATTTCCCACCAAATGTTCACAGAAACAATTGTGTTCTTACTTGACAATTTCTTTTAACATCCGGTGGATGAAAACCTTAAAAATTATATTGAAAATTCTATGCTTCCAGCTATATTGCTTCCACTAGGTACAACGTATCGATCATCCTCTAGGATGTTACTAACAGAAGGTGGAGGGTCATCAAAAACTTAAATTCCAAGGTTTTCACTAGACATTTAAATAAAATTTTAGTTATTTATCTTCTTGTTATTCATTTTGTCCATTTTTGTTAATATTTATTTGGAAAAAAGGTCAAATAGGCTCCTGAACATTACTCAAGAAGTCAATTAGGCCCTTAAACTTTCAAAAATTGTAATTAAGCCCTTAAACATATTATTTTAGAGTATTGAGACCCAAAAATCGGTCGGTGACCTGTAAATTACATGTCACTAGGGTTCCGACGAACCTCCGACAAGATTCCGACCATATTTCAGCAAAAAACACTGGTGAAACGATCTCTAGTGTCGTTTGGTTGCCTTCTCCTGCGAAAGAGAAGGCAGACCAACTGGACGATCGTTTCGCCGATGTTTTTTGCCAGAGGTTCGCTGAAACTCTAGTGACCTGTAATTACAGGTTACCGACCGATTTTTGAATCTCAATGCTCAAAAATAATATATTTAAGTGCTTAATATAACTTTTAAAAATTTAAAAATTTAATTGACTTCTTGAGTAATGTTCAAGACCTATTTCACCCTTTTTCCTATTTATTTATACCGAAATACAGAATGTTGGGCTCTTAGTATGTGGAGCCTAAAGAATCAGAGAAACAATCTTCTCAGTTGGGCTGTATGCTATCCGGCCCATTAATTTTCAAATAATATCGGTCAATTTTGTTTTAAAAAGAAAAGGAAATAACGAAATACGCGGATCCTAATTCCTAAATTCCCCTAGGGCAATAGGGTCTGCATATATCGGATCCTAGTATATGTCTGCCGGGTCGAATCTCGTACTTCTCACGAAAATAGGGAGAAAATAAAAATAAAAAATTAAAACACAAGGCGATTTTCGTTGGATCGAAACTTGAAGGCTGAAGGCGCTGAACGTATAAAAAATTTACGAAAAAAGTAAAGACAGGTACCGAACTTAACAGTCAGTGAAGACGATAGCGTAGACAGAGGTGAGTTTTCCTTCTCCCTGCAGTCTTTTCTCTTTCTTCTCTCCGGCGTTTTCTGGTTTTTGTTTGTGTTAATTGCTGTCTGGGATTGATCACACGAGTCCTCATATTCGTTTGCTTGCTTAATGAAGGGCAATTGTTGTTTACTTTTCAAGAATTTATGAACAACTGTGGAATTATCTTCAGTTGAATTTCTGGGTTTTGTTGATTTGATTTATTTATTTATTTCTTTCTTTCAATTGGTTCTGATTCTTGAGGTAAGTGAAGTAGAAATTGAAGAACCTTTTTATTGATGTATGTATTGTGTGCTGCATTTCAAAAGGTGTTTTATTTTTCTCTTTGTAATATTGGAATTTGAGGTTATTGATTTCTAGGGTTTTAAGAGTCTTGCTTGTTCTTATGTTTTTTCTGCTTATGGTTGTTTGATTGTCTTCCTGCTTTTGAGAATTTCAACTGAAAGGAGCTTCTGATGAGTTTTAGTTACAACAGATGAAGCGCAAGCGTGGAAGCAAGAAAGGCAAAGCTAAGAAGCCCAAAATTATGGCGACGAATGAGGTGGCTTCTAATGCCGAGGATGTAAATACAGGAAATGATTCAGTTGTGGAAGAGGAGCTAGAGAGTGATGGCTCTGGTTCTGGAGGAGAGGATGAGGGGCCATCGTCCACCGGGACTGATCAAGCACAAAAGCCTGCAAGCGCAAATTCAGGTGGATTTAGTGATAGCACTGTTATAAAAGCAGTTTATGGGCGTGTCAAAGTCAAGATCAAGAATTCTAAAGCATTAGACTCCCAAGTTACAACTTCAGAAACGCGTACCCAAAATGATGCTGAGAAAAGCTGCCAGTATGCTGGTTTAGAGAAACAGGGAGTTTCCAGTGAAAAAATGGAAGATAGTGCCAACTCTTTGTCTGAGACAAATAATGTTAGTACATCTGGGGACTTACCTAAAAAGTCTGCGGGGATTAAAATTAAGACGAAGAATTTCAGTTCGAATATTAGTCCATGTATTAATTCTGAAACACTGAAGGGGGAGAAGACACATAAGAAAGAGCCTTATTCAGTTTCTAAGAATTCAAGATACAATAAGAAGGAATTAGATGCTGCAGTGGAGGTATACCTGGATCAGATTTTGTGTTTTCATGTATCTAGAGGATATAAATGTTTCCATCAACTTTTGTTCTCTTGTATTATTCACGTCCTAATTTTGTTTTTACATATTAGGTTATAAAGAAAGTGATGAAAATGGAGGCAGCAGAGCCCTTTAATGCTCCGGTTGATCCTGTTGCTCTTGGAATTCCAGTAAGTATAATTGTTTTACCCCAACCCCTCATATAATGACAACAACAACAATAATAATAGTAATAATTTTTAGGGCAAATCTCTTTCTACGGTCAGCATGGAGTTTGACTTCATGACCTCAATAATATTTTTCCTGATATTAGTGTTCACTAGTTGTAATTGGGAATTTTGGGGCTTAGAGTATACAAGCTGCTGAGTCTTGGCACAAAGATACACACATATGCAATGCTTGATAAACAGTGGTTCTTGTGTTTTGCGGGGACCAGGACTATTTTGATGTTATAGATACACCAATGGATTTTGGGACGATACGCAGCAATCTTGAAAGCGGTGGTAAATACTTGAACTCAGAGGATGTCTATAAAGATGTGCAATATATATGGGATAACTGCTACAAGTACAACAATAAAGGTGATTTGGTCTTGGATCTCATGAAACGTGTGAAGAAAAACTTTTCAAAGTATTGGACTGCAGCTGGTTTATATAGTGACTACACACAAGGTAACTATGGCAAGATCTATTGTTTAGGCTTTTTTTGTTTGTATTTTTTTTTAATACATAATTATATATGGGTTCTGCCATTACTCATCCTCCTTATTTTTTGTTATGCAATTCTGATATCTTTAATTGTTTTTATCAAGCTACTCCATATTTGTTTGCCTGTTTACTCATGCTTAAAATGCTGGAATTGGCATCTGTCATTATTATGATATGGCTCTTGTTCCAAATGGTTGAACATTCTTGCTTTGCAGTTCTATTAATTTCTAATAAGCTTGTTCTTCTGCTCTGTAGTTGAAAGCAGTCAAATAAAGGATTCCACACCTGATAGTACTGGGAAGGAACAATCGAAAGGAGGTCCCATGAATAATAAGACAAGAAAGCTTCATGGGTGTGTTGTTGTCTATTTGTTATTCTTGATTATGCTTTCGTCAATGGTTGTCACTCTAGTATTTATGATTTCTTGGGCCATTTCCAGACTCAAGAAGCACAAAGATGGCTGCCTATGTGCTATATGTGTGATGATGCGCCGAAGGCAAGAACGTGAGGAGAGTGTTCGAATGTTAGAAGACCAAATGGAAACTAGTAGTGAATATCCAGATGAGGCCAAACCAGAGGTAGATATTTTTCCTTTATTTCTGAAAACCGTATACCCTGCACCCATACTTTCAAGTGTTAAGCAATTAAAAGCAAGTATAATTGATTCTGGTCTTTACAGAATTCATTTTATTTGTTAATGGAATAGCTCCTCATGACAATGATGACATTACTTTTTGCCCTTCACATTTGTTTGTGTACTCTTTAGTTTTTCTATTCTTCTGTTTTGTTCTCTCCTATTATTGTGAATTGAATCCACTTGACAGTTATTCTTTAATGATGGTTGTTTATTCTCTTTATTTTCTTCTTTAAAGGTAACTACACCTGCAGAAAGTCTAGGTGGTGACTATGCCTCATCAAATATGGAGAATTCTCCGGAACTGGACATAGATTCGAACCAGCAAGAGAAAGCAGAGGAGGGAAATTTAGCATATACCGAAGATCTATATAATCATTTACATGAAGAAGAAAATCGAGACAGTGAAACAGACATTCCAGCTAAAAAGGAGGGTCAGATTTCTGCACTTATGCAGTTAGGTTCTAGATCTGTGGAGGACCATACAAAGCATCAAAAGCAAAATATGGAGTCTGACAATCATATGCTAAATCACACTGAGAAAGAAACTTTGCGGGCTGGGGGTGAAACTGCCACAAGTGAACAGCATAAGCCCAAGGTAATCTGCAATTCTGCACATTTTCAGATAAATTAATCCAGTTCTGTCATATAAATTAGGACAAGTAATTTTAGTCTTTTAGCATCTTGCACATTGCTATTTTCTCAAGAGCCCAAATTTCCAAATCCTACACATCACTACCATGAAATTGCTGGAAACTAAGAGTTGGAAGAGTCAAAGTGACATTATTATCTCACATGTGGTAAAATGAAGAGTTTCAATCAATCCATCTTATCTCTTTCTCCTGTAGTCTATTGCTTAGCACATTTTCTTTTCGCCATCCCCATGCGTTATAGGCTGGTAGCTCCTTGCCTCGTGTTGGACCTTAAAACCTCATTCTTTCTTAGCAGAAACCAACTTTTCAAAGATAAGTGAATTTAAGTATGATGCACAACTTATCTATTTAGAACACTGGCCAGAAACAGCACTAATGTTTTCCAGTATATGCGCCCATTAAGGTTGAAATCCTGGGATAAGATTACTTCCATGTGGTTTTTGACATTGTGGTTTGGCATACATTATTCGCTGCAGGAGAAGCTTGACAAGTATCAGAAAGCTAAGATGTTGGAGAACCTGCGTCACTTGGAGAACCCCAGGATTTTTGAGTTATGTGGAACGCTTTTTGCTGATGATAAAAGATCTGTCTGGAATGGACCGCGTTCTCTGGTTCAACACAAGGCTTCAACTCGCAAGAGTGCCATTCGGGCTGCTGTTTCAAAGTTAATGCAGTAGGGGAAATTAATCTAAACAGGCTTCTCTATTTAGTATGCTTCACAAGCAGTTCCATTGCTTACTATCTTTCCTATTTGCTTGTGTTTGTAATCTGAAATTGACAGAATTGTCTCCATATACACATATATAGTGTACTTCTTTAGTGAGTTTGTCCCTCCTTTTATTATTACTACTGGTAATTTATGTGCATGATGCGTGAAATTTCATGTCCTAACATTTAAACGCAATTAACAATAATGTTTTGTTTGAAGAAAGTGACATTATTAATTTAACAAATTACACAATTGAAGAAAAAATAATAAACTAATTATCACACTAAAATTATATTTGGCACTAGCATTGGTCACAAGTTCAAACTAAAACTAGAATTCTAAGTTCAAACTTATTATTTGGTCATGAGTTTGATTCTTTCCAATATTATTTTGGTCAAGTCTGTTGTACACGGTCTTTTTAGTGAAGTTTATTATTATTTTTTGGTGGTGTGATCTTTTTAGTGAAGTTTATTATTATTTTTTGGTGTGATTTGTAGACTATTACGCAGAAGTTAAGTTTATTATTATCCCTTGCACACTATCGGGTAGTAGTTAGGGGTTTCAATTCCGTGATCCAAAAAAAAATGATAAAGTGTTTTTTTTTTTTTTTTTAGAACTTTGATTTTTTTTAAAAAAAAAAGTTTGGAAAATCCAAGTGAGGCATTCAGTGAATTATGAAAAGAAGCAAGAAAAAGCCAACATGATTTACGGTTGGTCATAAGGATAAAGTTTGGGAACAATGACTATCGAGTCTCAAAGGTTTATTATTTGTGTTCAACTGAATTACCATGATTTACATCCTACTAGATGCTCTGTGGAGACGAGGCGTGAGGGCCCTTGGGGTTGGAGATTCAAAGGATTTGTAAAATAATAAATTAATAATTAAGAATCATAAGAAATTAATTAGTGATGTGGTAATATTTTGATGGAGTAAAATTTGTAAGGTCATGGGTTCTATTATGAACAGATACTACACTGTAACAGAGTCAGTAGTACTCAAAAAAAAAAAAAAAAAAAATCATAGGAAATCAATTAGTTATGTGGTACTAATATTTTGATGGAGTAAAATTTGTGAAGTCATGGTTCTATTATGAACAGATACTACATTGTAATAGAGTCAGTAGTACTAAAAAAAAATTATAGAAAATCAATTAATGATGTGATAATATTTTAATGGAGTAAAATTTGTGAGGTCATGAGTATGGTTCATTATGAACATATACTACAATATAACAGATTAACAGAAGAGTCAGTACTACTAAAAAAAAAAAAAAAAAAAATCATAGGAAATCAATTAGTGATGTTGTAAAATTTGTGAGCTTCCAAAAATACATAGTAATAGAGAAGTTTCCTAATAACAGAATATATATGCATTAATTGTTACATCAATATATATATAGATTTGATATTATCATAGAAAATCAATCCCTAGTATTAATGGTTCTGTTTCCTTAATTATAACCATGAAATTTCCTGCCCCTATAAATGCATATTAATCCTAACCTCAGCTTTGTTTAAACCTTCTTCTTTCAATTCTCTCTTGGTTTAAAGTTTAAGAACTCACACCACTTCGAAGGTACTTTAATTTCTTCCATTATTATGCAATTTCAATTCTTTTTAATTTTTTTATTTTCTATTCTTGTTTTTGGGGTCATTTTATTGTATTTTTAAAGGTTTAATATAATATAATATATTAATATTGTTCAAGTTTACTGTTTTTATTATTACAGTCATTGTCACTAAAATTTTGAATATATATATATATATATATATATATATATATATATATATATATATGTGTGTGTGTGTGGGGGGGGGGGGGGGGGGGGGGGGGGGAAGGGAGAGGGGGAGAGAGACATACAATATGCTCGTAAGAATGTGTGTGTGTGTGTGTGTTTTTACATGGTGATGTATGTGTATATGCATGTATTCGAATATGTTGTAATTAATTATACTAGTAATTCCCTTGTGCGATCTAATGTATATTAGGTAATGATTACTAATTTAAAACAAACGATTGAAATATTATATATAAAAACATATATTTTATTGAGTCGCATCAAAATTAAATTTTATAGTAACATAATTTAGAAAAAAAAAAAAGTGTATACGTTTGAAATTTTATCACTTTAATTTGATGCAGATGTAAGAAATTGAAGTTAATATTTAATAGAGAAATTAATTTGATAGTTTTAAGTATATAATACATAGAATAAATAGTATTAATCTAGTGTAATCGAGCCCCATAGCTATGACTCTTCAAGTGAGAGGTCTCAAGTTTGAATTTAGTGTGCTACATTTAATTACTATATTGTAATAAATCAGAGTCAATAGCATTTTTAAAAAAAATTATATATTTATTTAAACATATAAGTTGAGTTTTAAAGTTGAGTTTTTATGGAAGTGTAATGTTTATTGGACAATTTAGATGGGGCGTGCAAAACTGAACTTAGAACTAATCCCAAAAGAGAAAGCGAGAAACTTGACCTTCAAGAAAAGGAAGGAAGGGATTATGAAGAAAATGCGAGAGTTCACTACGCTGTGCGACGTGAATGCATGTATGATCATATACGGGCCCAACAGCCAATCATCGGAGCCGGCGATTTGGCCGAACGATCGATCGGAGGTGGAACGCATGATCGAGCTGTACAAGGAGAAGGTTGCGGATAACTCGACTCGCTCCTATGGGATCTCCAATTTCTTCATGGATCGGAAGAAGAAATTGGAGGAAGAAGTGAGGAAGCTGAAGCAGAAGAACTTGGAGGCCAAGTATCCGACGAATCTGGAGTTCATGGATCGTATGTCGAAGCCGGAATTGGAGAATTTTGTTAGGTTTTTGGACGGAAAACTTGAGGCGGCGGCGGCTAGGATGGAGATGATGAACGAGATTAGCAATAATAATGGAGAATTACAGCAACAATCTCAAGCAATGCAGATCTTCCCAGGGTATAATAATCAGGATTACTACATTGATCCAATGCAAATTGATAATTTGGGGTATGTGACTAATCCGCTTCATCATCAGCATGTTGTTTATAATAGCCCTAATGTTATTCTCGATGATGATCAAGAGAAGAATTACGGGTTATTGGGCTACGCAAACCCTAACCCGACCCCCGGCCCGGGGAGGATGATGATTCCACCAGAATACATGCATTTTACCGGCGGAGCTTCCTCCTCCAGCAGCGCCGGCGCCGGCCCCGGCGGCTTTATTATCTATAACAACGACAGTTTCCCGGCCGGATACCGGCAGCAGCAAGTCAACTTGTACGAACCGATGATGAGTAACGTTATGGCGCAATACTCCATTGATCGCACTACAATGCAGCTGACAATGGTGCCGCCGCCGCCGCCCTATATGGGCGGCGATTTACCCCCACTGCCGCCGTGTTACTTGGAGATGAACGAGGTGAAATGCACACTTCCGGCTCTACCCGCCGGCGGTGTTAATTTGCCGCCACAAATATCTCCATCTTCTTATTACTTGGAGGAGAAGGAGAACAACAATAACTATCTTCCGCCGCCGGCAGGTGGCAGTGGCCTGCCGCAATTGCCGCCGCCGCGTAGTTGTATGGAGGACAAGGAGGTGGCCAGTAGTAGTAGTATTACCCATTATCAAGTCACAAATCAGATAACAAGGTTCAGCTAGTTACGTTGTTGGTGTTCATGCATGCATGGAAATGGAATAATAGTTATGATGATGAGATAGGAAATTGGGTACGTAATTTCAGTTTTTAATTCAGAATTGTTAATCTTAGACAATTGATTGTTGTTAATCTACTGTAATAAGTACTAAGGTTCTCTTTTATTTGATTTTTCTATCAATGTTTCTATTATATTGCTATTGTACAATCCCGACCGTATGATATATATATATATATATATATATATATATATATATATATATATATATATATATATATTATGAATACTGGTGTTAGTTGATATCATAAATATATGTAGACCTTATCATTGATGCATATATATAAATATCATCTTTAATTTGCATTCATGTATTAATTTTGGATTTTTTTTCTCTAGCAATATTTTTGAATTTTGAATTATTTATGGTTTGTTTCCATGGATTATTTTTAAATATCTTGGATGCCCAAAGTTGAATATCCTGTAAATTTTTTTTTTTAATTTTTATTTTTGTCGGGAGACCACGACATATGTCCAAGGAAGTGGTGGATGTTCTTCCAAGATGCAAAGTTTATGTATGTTAACTTTTCTAATCTCTTTATTAATTGTATGCTATCAAACATATATTCTTGGATGCGTTTTGTTTAGATTGTGTAATCAGTAATTTCATAAAATGTTATAGAGTTTGTCTAGCTTTTTATTTAATTTTTTATCATATGAGATTCTTAGATCAGAGATTATTTTTTTTTATTTTTTATTTTGGAAGAAGATCAGAGAAAATTTTATAATTATATATATTCATTGATAATCGTATAATTTGATCTAAATACGTAATTTCTTGATGGGAATATTTTTAGTCCCATTACTTTAATGCTAAGATTTTTATTATTTTCTTGCCTTATTTTTCCAACAAGTGGCTCCAAGAAGAAGGGAATCTTTGTTCTACACTTTATTGGTTTGCATTATCCCTTTTCTTTTTACATTTTACAAAAGAAAAACAAAACACAAAAATAATAAAAGTATAAAAATTACCATTTGTAATAGGTCGCTTCCACTAAAAGTTTAACTTAACCTGGTGGTTACTAACCTAATAGCCTGACCAACTGAGTTATGGTTGCCCCAAATGCAGGCTTTTTGTGGAGATAGTGATCAGGTGTATGTTTGTTTGTTTAATTTGTTTTTTTTTTTTTTTTTCGGAATTTTTGCAATTTTTGTTATTATTAATGTTTTTATGACAAAAAAATAATTAAAATTATAGGACACAAGAAAGACAAACATGGAAACACCACAAAAATTCGTATTAAAAAAAAAAAAGAAAAGGAAAATGAATCATTAAAAAACCATCATTTCCAAGTTGGGCTTCAAAAAATTGAGGATGAAGACAAGAAGACAATTAAGGAGAAAAAGGAACGCGTATTAATTAATTTGTGGTGCTAACATTTGTCTCTTTCCATGAAAAAGACATATCAGTATACTTTAAATAACATTTCGGATTTGCAAACTCTATAATTGAATCAAATTATTTATTTAATTTTTAATAGTAAAAACTTATGAAATATATATATATATATATATATATATATATATATATATATATATATATATATATATATATATATATATATATATATATATAACATGATATTGTTGTGCAGCTGATTGAGTTTCCTATGTTACCTCCCAAAAAAACTGATTTCAATAGGATTTAAATTGATATTATAATCGCAAATCTTATAATCGTGGATTTGACAATATCTATTTAACCAAAAAAATCAAGACAATAAGAATTTTTTACATATATATTATATCATGTTTTACATATATATTATATTTCCTATTATATGTAATTTTAAATCAAGACAATATATGTAAAGTATTGAAATGTGATTTTTTTTTTCTAAAAATAAAAAATCTTACATATAAGAATTTTGGAATTGGAAGTTATTTAACCTGATTAATTTACGAATGAAAAAAATGCTATTGTCTACTATGAACTTTTGGCACATTGATTCCATCACGAGGTAAAAAGGAATTTTGGAATTGGAACTTTTGAGTAGGGATGATTACAGTTCGGTTCGAATCGCACCGTGTATTATTGAAATCGGACCGAAACAGAAACCCATAGGGTTCTAGTTCGAAAAAAATTAAAAAATAAATTTTAATTATTATTTATTAGTCTTCTAAAAAATTTATTATTTGATTAAAGTTTAATTATTATTTGATTAATATTTAAACTTTAAATAATATTTTAAAGTACAACAATAACAATTTTTTTAATATAATTTAACTTTGAAGTTTAAATATTTCATATAACTATTTTAAAAACATTTTAGAATATAAAAAATTCACAAAAGAATAAAATTGTTGAATTTGGACAATTAAAAAAAAAAAAAAAAAAATTTACAAACAAAATTTTTAAAAAAATCTAGTTCGAACCTGCGGTTCAAACTGAAATAACCGGTTCCAGAATCGGATTTGAAACCATTATACAAAGGTTCGGTTCCGATCCAACCTATTCCAGAATCAGAAACTGTCAGTTCAGAACCATTCAGAACCAAACTGTGGCCATGACTATTTTCGAGTAATATAGGTTGGGACAAAAAAATATATTTTCGTGTGCACAAATAGTATTTTCATTTCATATAAATTGTTTTTTAATTTTTTTCAAATTCCAATAAACATAAAATATCACTTACAAAGTACAGACTATCTTTTAAAGATAAGAGTAATGGTCCTAATGGAGAGCTGAACTTTATTTAGAGAGTTGAGATGAGAAAAGGAAAAGTAGATTATGATATGATATAATAAAATATAATAAAAATAACTTTCAAAATCTGCTTTATATTATTGTTTCTTTCTTGTCAAGAGGGCACTGCACTTCTCTTTAGAAAAATGTCTTCCACTATAAATTTTTTTCTCTTTTTCTTGAGGTGACCCCAATGCCCAATGCATTCACATGAAATGGCTAACTCAATTTACAAAAACTTCTTTTATTTTTTTTCCTGAAAACGGGATGAAGTGGCTAGAGTATGATTCTTATATTTGAAGGTTACAAATTTGATTATTAAGCGTATCCACATTCTTGTAAACTAATTTGAATTTAGTTTAGGTTGCACTTTAATTGTACTTTGGGAAGACTCGACTTAGAGTTTTTATTTATTTAATATGGTGTACCCTATAAGAGTCAGGGTAGGGATGTAAATGAACCGACCCGAACTCGAGCTCAGCTTGATTATGAAACGAACCGCCTCGAGTTTTATATATATATATATATATATATATATATATATATATATATATATATATATATATATATATATATATATATATATATATATATATATATATAACATTTGAGCTCGAGCTCAGCTCAATTACAAACAAGTCAGCTCGAGTTCAACTCGAGCTCAACCAGAACTTTGATCGAGCGGCTCGCGAACTGCGCAGCTCATTTACACCCCTAGTCGAAGAGCTTTATTTTATTTTATTTTGGTTGGTTTCAAGATGGGAATTAGTTGTTGAACATATTTAGACTGTTTAATCTCATGGCTTTCAGAAAAAGAGACCAGACAAAAGTAGTGTTGTTGAAAAAGAGTCACCATATCTCCCTTCATATCCTTATTTACTTTATCATATATGGAGTAATATATTGCAATTATTGTTGAGCTTCTAAGATTTTGCAATTTTTTTTGTTCTCATAACTCGGGTTTTTTGATTTCGTTGAATTATGTCCAGGTTCCATGAACTCATCTTAAACCCTTGGAGAGGTAAATTAAGTTCATCTAACTTCAAGACTCAACATCAAACTTATACATTTCTGCGCACAAGGTTCTCAACCCAAATCTTAACCTCTAATGATTTCTTTATGCTCATTATGGTTCTATCTTGCTTTTGACACAATTTGTACCCTTTTTTTTTTTTTAATACTACTGATTCTATTACAATGCAATATTTGTTCATAACTACTTTCTCAACCAATTGAAGCACAAAGAGTCAATATCGCTGAGGCTCGATCCCACAACCTCCTCCTTAAGAGAGTAACTTGGTGTCATTAGACCACAAGGTCCTTAGCTTAACGTCTTAAAACTAGGGATTGGATTTTATTGCTGGTTCTATTATTAAAGAGAATGGATTGCAATTTAGGTATTAAGATGGTTTATGTCCGCGAATTATTCTGTGGATCCGGATCTACCTTGCAAGATGAACCTGAGTTCAAAAATACTCCGTATATAATTTACATATTAAATGTTTATAATTTACCTTTTAAAAATTCACAATTTGTGATGACCATATATTACTTCAGTCGAAAGATTTGACTAAAAACTCTCTAAGCATACAAAAATCAATTCTGCAGTTACTTACCAACTGCTCCAAACTATTTATTGCTTTATTGAATTGAAAATGGTGTACATATATCACCCTCTAGGCCTATAGTGAGTAGCTCCATCCCCTTTTTTCAGTGACAGAAGCTTTAGTCTTCACCTGAATGAAGGAGCCAAGGCCTAGCTGGAACATATCTTACATTGATTCTCTCTTTGCTTTTTGAAATTCCCTCTCTTTGCTTAATTCTTTCTTGTTCTTGCACATGCCCAATCATACTGCATTACCCCCCCAATATCTGTCAAATAAGTAGCACCCTAATCTATTGCTATCTGTCCTGCAGCCTTTTATTTTTTATTTCTCTGTATTTTTTTTGGCAGCTTTCTTTATCTTTCCCTTGTGGTGGTGGCACTGTAGCAGATCATTTTGTATATTGCCAACTCTCAATCATTAGTCCTCACTGTGTAAGTAGGTTGATCTACCTCCCTTAATTACATCTCAAAAGTAAATCAATATGGGCCAACCCCAACCAAGTCTCGCTTATCAGACCGTTAATTTTAGAAATATAAAGGGCTTTCTGGAGTTTCTAGGGCTTCGAATGAGTATTATTGCGTATACAGAGGGGAACGAAGAGGAAATATACACTCAGAACTTGAAAGGACATTTTTACCCCTCAAATTGACGTCCACTTAACTTCTGACGGAAGGACCAATATTGCTGGAATTGACGTCCACTATACTCGGAGGACCATTGCTGGAATTAACTCCACAAAGTTACAAGTTTGACTCCCAGAGGGAGCAGCCTAGTGCATACCCTCGAGTAGTGGTTATAAAAAATGAAGTTTGATAAACTTAAATTGTGTTTATCAGCTGCTACCATAATGGTATCTTGAAAGTTAAAAGTGAATGCTTTTGCAAGCATGAAGAGGGCACCCTTTGTTTCGAGGTGGCCAGACAAGAGGGCCAAGGCACTTTTGATTTCTTTAAGTTTTCTTCATTCAAAGATAACAGAGGTATAGTATTGATTAAGTTAGGCATCAAAAAATCATGAATAAAGAAGAAAAAAAACAAAAAGTATATACTACTGAGATTACATAATTTAACTTTGTCTTTACATTTGTGCTAGGTATAATAAAGGTGCCTAGGCTGAGCTGAGCTGCAACCTTCAATAATACTACATTTGGTGCCAATGTGTCTGTCTGTTTCTTCCTTGACAGGAAACCCTTTGGAATAAGAAATCTGGGATTAAGAAAGAAAGAACCATTCTGTGCTGTGTCATAGGTTGTTCTTGTTTGAACTCCCACCAGAGAAAACGAGGAAGATATGCTGTTGTGATCACTCTTCGCAGGTAACGCCTTAAAACCATATGATTTTTCTCGTTTCATGCTTTCGAGGAGCAGAGTTTTTGTGGGTTTTTCTTTTTCATCAATCTGTGTTTGTTCACATTGTGATATCTGATATCATCCTCCTATGCATCGCTTTCTGCAATCATATTGGTTCTGAAAAAATGAGGATGTTAATAAGTGTCTAAAAGAGAGGATATTGATTGCATCAACCGAGTTCCACTGAATTGAGACACTATCCATGAAACACTATCCGTGAAAGATGTAAAGCGAAAATACAGATGGGGTTGTGGAAATCTCTTCATTTCAAAGATAAACCCGACTTTTTGGTGATGTTGATTTGCTGTGTCTTCATTACAAAGAATAGATTCTAAATTCTCATCATTAGAATGAGGAATTTTTCTTTACCTAAAGGACACACCCACTTTAATGATGTTGTTCCTTAACTTAGTAGCATTATTAAGTGCATTCAAGATGCAACACTCTCTTTGTCCCAATGATTTTTTTTTCTCTTTAACAGCTTTTTTTCCTATCCTCCACATATCACCACAGACATGGATAAACACACTGTTACATCTGATGTAATGCATCAATAAGGTTCCCGGTTTTCATCTGTTATCTTATCTGCTAAAACAGGTTATCTGTATAGGCAGGCGTACATATAACATACCTCTGTATTGTGAAAAGTAGATATGAATGAGTTCAGTTCTGAAAGGCCGAGGTCCTCGAACATATACACAAGTGCAGAACCTAGTCCATCTCAAACACAGGTGAACCAGGAAGGTCCATGGAAGAACTTTGGGACATCAACAAACGCCATTTCCTTCGGGTTTGTAGCAACAGCCATCTTGATCTCCATGTTTCTCATCATGGCCATATTCGAGCATCTATTCAAGCCAGGCACTTCGTTCTCCTCGCCCGAAGATCACATAGACAGCAACCTGGAATCAGGAAGAAGGCAGAAGCTTAGAAGCTCACAAACTGTAAGTTCATCTAAACATGGTGCTTTCTTCAAGATTAATTATGAATTTCAGAGTAAACTCATTCTGGGTAATCTTCTTTTACAGATACCAACTTCATATTCGTCGGATTTCACAGTCTTGATGCCAGGACAACAATATCCAACCTTCATTGCCCAGCCTGCTCCTCTCCCTTGTCAAAGGGAAAGAGTTTACTGGCCCTCACATGAACATAGCTTTTCATACACATAATGCTAAACTTACAAGTGATGATGGTATGTGTACCCCAGAATAGTGAAATTCTTCTTCAATTTTCTACATCTACCATTCCAGAATTCATATCTTTATCCCACTGTGTATGAGGGAGAGAGAAACAGGGAAAGAGAAAAAAAAAATTGTATTTGCAAGACAACAATAGTCAACCATGGTGTTCAGATTACCAGGTTGTTCAGATGATTTTTTATGTAGTTATGCATGGATTCCATGTTTTGAGAAATTGAGGAAGAGTGCAATAGATTAAACATATTTTTATGTAAATACACTAGAGTTACACTTACAGAAAACTTGACAAAAACAAAACGAAGAACAATGACAAAGACACACTAACAGAGCAAAGTTCTCCCTTTTGGCTCTTTCACCAGTTTTGAATTAAAGGTGCTTCCACCAGTATAAGGAATGAGGAACTACAGGGATTCTTCATGTTCTTTGGAACTGCTAAAGATCACCATAGTTACCCTCCGAGGTTGTTTCTTGGAACTGCTAAAGATCACCATAGTTTCCCTCCAAGGTTTAGTTAGGAACTCGCTGAATACTGTTGTTTCCACTTTCCAGAGGGTCTATAAAAAGACCTGCCTCTGGTTTACTCGAGTGTTCCTTCATCGGGTTGTATTACAGTGAGTAGAGAATACTTGACCTTGAGGGAAATCCTTCCCTTTTCAACCATGAGCCTTGCCCCTGAAACAACCCAATAACCAGGTGTTTCTTGTGGGCCTCTAGTCATCTCAGTTGTATCAACAAACTTCAAGAGTTTAGGTGCTTGAATGGGAACGGGAGGACCACCAGGATAAACAGCGGAATTAATATTGACATCAGCTGGCTGTGGAGGCGGCTTCTGAACTGATGTAAAATGATGACTAATCAGAGTTGATATTAATCCAGATTTGCGGGCCAAACCAGGTGAGCCATCCCACTCCGATTGTCTTACCATTGTAGCACCCAGAACAGTAGAGAATTTGAGCCTTAGGAAAAGAACCTTTTTCAACCCATAGTCACCAACTTCCAGTTTCGCTCCAGTGACTATGGAAAGATCCTCGTCAGAATCAACAGGTGCTGTGCAGACATGGGAGAAGTTCTTCCATTGAACTTTCTCATAGTACTTGCGATCATGTGGTTCTCGATGGAAGTTTCTGTGTGGATCATCTTCAAGTTGGAATATTTTTGGAAGAGATGAGAGGTGCTGCATGTGAATGGCCAAACGATTGCTCCTTTTACCTTCAAGGTACAATCGAAGGCCAGTTACAGGCCTCTTGCCAACATCAACCTGTCATTGATGCAATGATATAAGTTTAGACCCTAGTCTGAGGGAGCAGAAAGAAGAAATGCTAATATTGAGGTTCGGCAATCCCAGCTGAACTTGTACACCCAAAGAAAATCACAAAGATGTGAAATAATACTAGAACTCAAACCTCTTCTAATATACATAACATAAAAACACGAAGTCTAAATGGCTAATGTTTAGAATCTTCCTAGCAATTAGCAAATGGGCAAATGATAGAAGAAAATGCAAATATATGCCTTCTAGGAAAATTCCTAGTCAACAATCATCTCAGCATAAAGTGGTAAATACAGTGGAAAAATAATAGACCCATAGTAGTATCATAGAGCTTTACCGGAGCAGTGTTTACATACAGCTTTGGACCCAGAAAACTAAATTGTAAAGAAGCTGTACTTTGCTGCCTTCTTTGTGGACCAAGAGGAAGATCACTAAACACGGGTGCCCATTGCCTTGGCAGCTGAAATTCCAAAAACTGGTGAAGCTCTTCAATGGGTGGTTTATCTAGAAAGCAGAACCAAGGATTTAAAGATCAATATATGAAATGTTTATTCCTCAGAAGTAATGTGGAACTGACATCTACTTTGGATGAAAGTAGAAGCAGAGGAAATTGGAAAGTGAAGGAAAAAGGGCCTAAACTCACAGCGCAGGTACAAATTTATAGCATGACTCAGAAATCCACTTCCAGTGATGCCATTGAGCAGGGATGTTATTGGAATGAAGGACATTGAGATCGCATCTGGTTCTAGCTGAACAGTATGTAACCATTCATTATGAGTTAGGTTTCTGTAATCACTTCCACCTCTCCTCTTGCAAATGCTCATGATATCCTGAAATTTAAGCGAAATTGACAATTTGTTAGAAGCATAAAAAGAAACATGTTTACCAGAGACAGCAAACAGCAGCATCTGCAACATACCTCCTTGTACACATATGAACTTGATGTGCTAGCTTCAGCAAACCTCAGTCTTGTCTCCCTGTTTTCAAACTGAAGCAAAATGCTTAGATAGACAAACAGAAACTTAAACCAAAACAATACAAGCATGACTAATTTCTACACAGTTTTCAAATAATCTGTTAATTTTGATGTCTGCATGAAAATTAACTTCATGTCAATTGGTTTATAAAAATTAAGGTTTTAAAATCCACAAGGTTAATCACAGGGTGGTCAACCATCTTCAAAAAGATAAAGCGATTCAAATGTCTAGACTCTTGAGTAAAATTGACCCTCTAAAAACACTCATTGAAGCAAACTTCAGTACATGATTTTGAAGCAAACCCCACAACAGGCTTTTCAGCAGCGAGGCCATATCAAGAACTAGGAATTTGACAACTGGGTATTTCAGGGTATTATGCATGCTAAATTTAAATTTCTACAAGCAGCTAGTGGTGATAATGAACAGGAACATCTGAGATGCTAAACCTTGTCAGTCTGATACCCCAGTTCAGAATTTGTACCATACTGTTCACTTGCGTCTGAAAACCTCTTATCTGCTATTGCCTTTAACCTTTTCTGCACATCAGCAGGTTCAAGTGATGACGAGTGCTGTTGTTTCATATATACAACATCCTTTCCTCCCATCTTTACACCAACTATAATGTGAGTACCAAATTTCTCGATGAACCTGGAATATTGAAAATAGCTTCACAATATGAAGTCCTGTTATCACCTTCAATACTAACAATACGCAAATGATACAAACAGTGTATGGTCTATATAATAGCAGCATTTATATCATAGTTAAAAACATATGTTGGCAACCTCAAGTTTCACCTTGCTAATGCTGCAGGATCCCAGGTTGAAGGGACTTCTTTCTTCACGTGATCACACAGCACCATCTGAGATTTTTCTAGCGCAATAGTGTACAACGTGATGAAGACGCCATCAAAAGCAAGGGTTTTGGTGTAGGCTGCATCCTTCTGCCAGCAACCCGAAAAATCAAACATGGCATTGAAGAGCCCCGAGGGAATCTTACCAGTCAAAGATATGTCCTGGTTGAACTGCTCTGACATCTGGACAATACAAAATTACAAATTGTAGAGTTAACAATAAAAAGATTGTGAATAACTTTCCTGGTAGCACTAGCAGATATTGTTCTTAACATCAATAAAGCAATTCTATGAAGTAACTTAGCAAAGTAATTAGCTAATAACAGAAGTGAAATATATTCCCACTATTGTCCAATTCCTATTCATTGCAAGGGATAGAAGAGAAAGGGAAAGAGATGGTGGGGCCATCTCAACTAAAATAAAGGCATATGAGTACAATGCAGCAATACCTGCTGGAAAGGCAGAACATCGGACCGGAACCTTGTGCGTTCTCCTTTATCACATTTGATGGACTTGGGTACATCGGGGACCAAAATCCCACCAGGAAGAACAATCTCTTGGCCCTTATCCTCGTCAATCTCAATCAAACGCCGACTACATGGATCCCCTTTGCAATATTTAAGCCGCAAGTCCAAGGATATATCATACCCGCATCCTATCGACAGAATGGCTGCCTTGGCTGCTTCGGCAGCTGGAAGCTTTAGTGCCATTGTTCAGAAAACCACTCCCAAATTACTCATGAATATTTCTACTCAAAGATTCCCCCTTTTAAGCTTGAAACTAAACTAAACTACAGTTGGCACAACAATCCAATCAATTATAGTAGCATCGGGGTGGGAAAAATGGGAATTGTAAACCAACGGAAAATCCTAAAAAAAATTCCACTGCTCCTTTTTACCGGATTCCGCCGCACCCAAGTCAGATACAGAGTTGACTGCACAGAAATTCGGCCACAAAACCCTAGAGCCTCGGCCGTACAAAATGCACATGAAACCGCGAGCCTTTTATAATTTTGAACTCGCACGAGCTCGAACCTCTACCCGCTATGAGCTGATGAGATTGAGGATATAATTCAGCTCAGATCTAGAGAGATAATGCATCGGCGGAGGGTTGGAGGTTGGGAGACTCCAAGTCGTGTCGAATTGAGTGGCAAACAGCACGGTCATAGAGACCTTTGAGCTTTGACTGAAAAATGCGATTTTTATTTTATTTTTTTAATTTTAGTTTTTGTCGTTTAAAACAAGTGCAAAAACGACAGGAGTGAGACGTGGAATGCAGGATTGGGGAAGTGGGGCCGGTCAGGTCAGAAATCGAGAACTGACGGCGCGGTCGTATAAGGTTTGGAGACAGCCAATGAGATAAGCGCGAAGACGGTGAGGTGATGCACTTATGCGTCACGGATACTCCGAATAAACCGCGCCACCTTATTTCTACTTTATCAATCGCATGTCGGTTTAGTGGAAAGTCATTTTTGGACCATAGCCAGCCCACTTTAACTCTCCAACTTAGACAATTGTTATATTGTGGACTCTTTTTTAATACACAGAATTCATATTTATAATGTACAAAATTCATATTCATAATACATATATATATAATATAAACACAATATAATGAACATGAATTCTGTATATTATATAGCTGATGACACATAAACACTTAACATAAAACATTGAATTCATGTTTATTATATCGTGTTTATGTGTATATATATTATGAACATGAATTCTGTATCTTATGAAGTCAAATTCTGTGTATTGGACCAAGGTCCACCACTCCACCCTAGTCCAAGATAAAATTTGCCCAACTCCAATAAGTGGATGTTAAATAGCACGAAAATGAATATTCCAAGTTTCCAACTTGATAAGTGGAAGTTAAATACCACGAAAAAAACGGCAAATCCAGCTAAATCAATAATAACAAAGTTACAAGTTTAACTCCGACCAAAATATGCATCCATTACCAGTATAAGTAGCACCTGGTCCAAGTCAAAGAAGCAGGCACTACCAAGGGGACAAGAAGAATAGAAGGTCCTGTCCACCTATTTCAACATCCTAAACCTCTATTGCTCTACTGCAATGTTTCCCAAAATTCAGAAGACACAATTATACACATTTTAGGGGGGGAAAGAAACCAAAAAGGAGACATGGCTAAAAATTCATTCATCTTAATCTTCAGCCAGTCCTAGTTGCTGTCAGTGAAATCAGCATCAATGACATCTCCATCAGGTCCCTTCCCTGATGATGATGATGATTCTGAGGGCTCTGCTGAACCGCCAGGTGCTGGACCAGCGCCCGGTGCTGCACCAGGCTGGTTGTAGAGTGACTGACCAATCTGCATGACTTCCTGATTCAGGGCAGCCATAGCATCCTTCATGGCCTGGGTTGATCCCCCTGAGATTGCATCTTTGAGCTCTCCAAGCTTAGCCTCGACTTTCTCTTTCACTGACCCGGGTATTTTGTCTCCCAGATCCTTCAGTTGCTTCTCTGTCTGGTAAACAACAGAATCTGCCTGGTTCTTTGTGTCTATGGCGTCTCTCTTCTCCTTGTCTTCTTGGGCAAATCTTTCAGCTTCCTTCACCATCCTATCTACCTGTATCAAGATCAGCAGGAATTATTAGCAGCGGTTCATGTGAGAATCAACTGGAACTCACGAGCATCTAAAATAAATGTATCTTGAATTGCAAATCCAGTTCATTGGCAGAGAATGGTTTATTGTTGATACGCAAAAATACAAGCATCATAGTGTATCTTCAATCAAGATGTTTCTAAAGGCACCAAATTAGTATTGGAAACTGTCATACCTCATCGTTGGGAAGGGTGCTGGCACCTGTAATGGTGATGTCTTGTTTCTTCCCAGTGCCCTTGTCAACAGCAGCAACAGAGAGAATGCCATTTGCATCAATGTCAAATTTGACCTCGATTTGAGGAACTCCTCGTGGGGCAGGAGGAATTCCATCAAGGCGGAAGCTGCCTAGAGACTTGCAGTCCCTCACGAATTCTCTCTCACCTTGGAGGACATTGATTTCTACACTGGTCTGCCCATCAGCTGCTGTTGAGAACACTTCTGATTTGGAGGTAGGCAATGTTGTGTTTCGTGGAATGATCTTTGTCATAACACCACCAAGAGTTTCCAAACCAAGAGATAATGGTGTCACATCAAGGAGAACGATATCACTTACATCCCCAGCCAAAACACCTGCCTATACAGATAAAGAGGTTTGTTTTCATTTACAGATCATAACAGCTAAAATGACAGGTGATAGAAATTTCTTATTATAATAAGACCTCTAAAAATATTTTACCTGGACTGCAGCTCCTAGGGCAACGACTTCATCGGGATTAACAGAGACATTAGGATCCTTTCCAGTCAGTTTCTTAACTACCTCCTGAACAGCTGGAATACGAGTTGAACCACCAACAAGGATGACCTCATCAATATCACTGAAGGAGAGCTTTGCATCTCTCAATGAATTCTGGACGGGTGTTTTGAGTCTGATGAGAAACAGGAAACGTATCACTACATCAAGTTTTTTTAGCAGAAGAGTCTATGCAGCTCCAAGAAAACTTTACAATGCTAATACCTGTCAAGCAGATCTGAACACAATTCCTCAAACTTAGCTCGAGTTAGGGTTGTTTCAATATGTTTAGGACCATCAGCCGTGGCTGTAATGAAGGGCAAGCTGGTAAAAAGAAGCATATATCAATATAATTAATCTGCATGGTCTAAGAAGAATCAATGCAAGAGGTAGCATTATATACCTAATGTTAGTCTGCGTCAACGATGACAGCTCCATCTTAGCTTTCTCAGCTGTCTCAGTCAGACGCTGAAGAGCTTGTTTGTCCTTGAGGAGATCTATGCCTTCATCCTTCTTGAAATTTGAAGCAAGCCAGTCAACAACTCTCTGCATGAAAGTAGTAGCTTAGTACCATACCAACCAATTAACATATGTACCTAGGTAGAAATGCAGAAGAAAATGCAAACCTTATCAAAATCATCACCACCAAGATGGGTATCTCCAGAAGTAGACAGCACCTCAAACACACCATCACCAACTTCTAGAACTGTAGTCAAAGATATAATAGGTGTGTCATCCTCAATTCCTCACAACTTTTCTTATGATTTAGATATTCTAGAATTGCTACATTACATGTAACATTCAACATAGCAAGCATCTAAATTGGAAATATTACATTCAACGTTTAATATATGAAGCACCTAAAACGGCAACATTACATTTAACATTCGCTATACCAAGCAACTAAAATGACAGATTATTGTATCAATTGTGAAATTATAGGTGAGGAGAAAGAACTAACTTGACTTGGTAACTACAATGTTACAAGTTCCAACTCCCAGCAAGAGCGGCCTATTGGCCTTATTGGTTTGAGCCGATCAGCTATGGGCAATCTAAGTTGTTATATCTCCTTGTGATCCTTTGCCGACTAGGGTCACAAGGCGGGATTTACCCGGTTCAACCAATGGGTATGGGTTTTCTCGTCACCCAAAAAAGTTACATTCATACCTGAAACATCAAAGGTTCCACCTCCAAGGTCAAACACCAAAATAGTTTCATTGTTTTTCCTTTCAAAACCATAAGCCAATGAAGCAGCAGTAGGTTCATTTATAATACGAAGCACCTCCAGTCCAGCAATACGGCCAGCATCCTTAGTTGCTGTTCTTTGAGAATCATTGAAGTATGCAGGAACTGTGACTACAGCTTTGGAAACATTGTCATTCAAAAACTTGGATGCATCATCCACAAGCTTTCTCAAGACCTAAATCAGGATGATGATGATGATGATGATGAAAGATTAATAGAAATCTTTCAAAAGCACACAAATTCATATATATAGATGAACTATGAATAGCGGAAAATGATGTGACTATACCTGAGCAGATATTTCTTCAGCAGCAAACTGCTTACCAATAGCTGGGCAATCAAGTTTAACGTTTCCATTCTCATCCCTAATAACATTATAGGAAACCTGCTTAGACTCCTCATCCACCTCCGACATCTTCCTCCCAATAAACCTCTTCACCGAGAAAAACGTGTTCTCGGGATTCACCACGGCCTGGCGCTTCGCAATCTGCCCAACAAGCCTATCCCCGTTCTTTGTGTAGGCCACCACAGAAGGCGTAGTCCTCTGCCCTTCCGCATTCGTCACGATGGTCGGCTTCCCCCCTTCCATCACCGCCACGGCGGAGTTAGTCGTCCCGAGGTCAATACCAACCACCTTCTCCGCCACAATACGCAACCGCGTCCCGCCTGCATTTCCCCGACTCTTCTTCAGCTTGAGTCCGAAGGGCACGGTCCTACAGCTCACTCTCTGCCCAAAAAACACCGTTCTCGATCGACCAGTTGCAAATTGAGTAGCTCCGAGAGCGTGAATTTGAGCCGTGGATGACGCCATCAATTAAACCAGGAAACTGCAACAAAATTCACTACTTCTTGTCTTGTATATAAGCGACCAAGCAGGTGCGTTTATGTATAAGTCAAAATATAATTTTGTGTAGAGACTAGAGAGAGATGAGAGCTAGGGTTTTGAATGGAGGAGAAGCCTCAACCCTGTATAGCTGTGTAGAGAGGTCGGAAACGGATTTAGTGTCGAGAGAGCAGAGGAAGTTACAGTGAGCGAAGAAGAAGAAGAAGAAGATGATAAGTGAGGGTTTGGTATGGCCACGTGGACGCTAGTGAGGAGATCTTTTGTTGGCGAATCAAAATATGAAATCCAAAGCATATACGGTCCATATGGAGTAATAAAAAGGGAAAAGCATCAAATAACCTTCAAACTTTATTTGAAAAGTCCCTAAACTTTTAAAAAGTATAAATACACACTTTAACAAACTCCGTATTAAATAGAGGCAATAAAATCCAATAATGAATAAATGACATACTATTACAGATTATTTCAGTCCAGGTATCATATTTGGCAGAAATCCGTCGCCTTCTCTGGTAGAGGCTATCAGATATAATGTCTGAATTGAAATAACATGTAATAGCAGGTCAGTTATCCGGTCTTGGGCTTCATTACCTCAATTTAAACATGTTAAAATGCGTAATTACACTTTTAAAAATTTAACGACATAATTGGCTTCTTAGATAAAGTTTAAGGTCTTATTTGACCATTTTCTCATAATACAAATAATAATCTATAATTAGTTTCTAGGGAACTATTAGGCTAGATAATCAAAGGGCCCAATCATATCACTTAAACGTGTAACTTGAAATTCCTAGAAAAATTATAGTTGTTAATTGCTATCTAAACTCTAAAGCTCGCAGTTGGTACTTTAAAGAAAAGTTAACAGTCACTATTCAAATGTACATATTGAGGGCAAATTATGCCCTGGACCCGTGTCCACATTGAATTGTGGACACGGGCCCAAAACGACGTCGTTTTTAAAAAAAAAACGCGTCATTTAGTTAAAAAAAAAAAATCGCGCGCGTTTTGCCCGGCGTTAACGGCGTTATTTTTTTTTTTGGATTATGAATGTACAGTTATGCCGTTATGAATGTACAGTTATGCCGTTATGAATATACAGTTATGCAATTATGAAATTATGAACACAGAGCTCTAACATTATGAACTTACAATTATGAACATATATAGTGATAAAATTATGACCATGGAGCTTTAAAATTGTGAATATAGAGCTTCGAAGATTATGAATGTACAGTTATGGAGTTATGAATGTACAGTTATAGAGTTATGAATCTACAGTTATGGAGTTATGAATCTACAGTTATGAGATTATGAATCTACAGTATGGAATTATGAATGTACAGTTATTGATCAAATTATGAACAAAAAGCTCTAACATTATGAACTTACAATTATGAACATATAGTGATAAAATTATGAACATAGAGCTCTAAAATTGTGAACATAGAGCTTCGAAAATTATGAATGTACAATTATGGAGTTATGAACGTACAGTTATGGAGTTATGAATGTACAGTTATGGAGTTATGAATGTACAGTTATGGAGTTATGAATGTACAGTTATAGAGTTATGAACGTACAGTTATGGAGTTATGAATGTATAGTTATTAACATATAGTAATAAAATTATGAACATATACTCTTACAATGAAGCGGTCTGAAAAAAAAAAGAAAAAAAAAAAAAGAGATAACAGTGCCTAACGGCACTTTACCCGTGTCCAGCAAGCATGCTGAACACGGGTCCAACGCATAACGATTGCATACTGAGTAAAATTCACCTTGTAACCCCAATTAATAAAGAGTCGTAAACCAGTCTATCTTATTACCAAAACTTCATTATACGAAATATGGAGTATATACTAACAAGACGTTTGTTAAAGAGTTAACTCGCCAGTTAGTCTCTTCTCTCGATAATAATAATAAAATAAAAAAAAAAAGTTATATCATAGAAGTTGCAAGTTTCTTTTGTTGCTCAAAAAAAAAAAAGTTATATATCTCAATAAGGAAAAGATTATGTGGACAACGTAGAATATACACTAACGAGACATTTGTGACACCTGTTAAAGAATTAACGCACCATTTAGCCTCTTCTCTTGGTTATTAAAATATATATATATATATATATATATATATATATATATATATATATATATATATATATATATATATATGTTGTACACAACCTCATAATCGGAAAAAAAAAAAAGGTTGTGGACAACGAACTCATCTCCCAAATCTAAATCAAATTCAACAAAATTTAATACAAATAGCATAACATGACACTTTAATGATAAATACAACATTATACACAAAATTTTGCACAAGCTTACGTGACCTTATGTAAAATTGACTGACGGCTCGTGAATATTAAAAAAAAAAAAAAAAAAATTGAAATCAAATGTACAAATTGTTTGATACAGTTTCAAGTATAGAAACAGTAGAATAACGGACGCCTTTGACGGGGAGTAGGTTGCAAACCGCCATTCTTCCTGCTCTAAACAACAATGGAAGAAAAACCCAACTATTATCAGTACATAACTCAACACCAGAACAGCAGTCAAATTAAGGCCAAGGAAACACAGAAGTCAGGAAAGCGGTATTATCAGTGGAAAAATACACTCAGCTATAATGTTATATTGTTATTACCCACATAACTACAAACAAAATCACCAGCTTCTCTTGGCTTTGCACTACCATTTAGGCTCTCCCTTGTGTGCGTGAAAGGGTGTTGAGTGATTGCACTATCGACACTCTGCATCCAAAATGAACAGAATACATGCGCTCATTGGTTGTCCAGTTCAAAGTTTCCTAGCAAATTTGGTTTCAAACACCTCGTAGATTATAGGACATTTTACAGTTGGTGCACGCCCAACCGAGGCAACTGAAGCAAACAGGAGAAATGAAATTCCAACTTGTCACTAGGAGCGCAAGGCCATGAATATGTTCTGCCTCCGAGCATGTTCAGGAATTAGGCGGCGAAGAGTTTCAGGAGGGATGCCAGTGAGCTCTACAACAAAGCATGGAAGGGAATGGTAATATGCATATAAATATCATACAACCATAGAAACTGGAAAGTTTCAGCAACCCCATACTAAAGATATTGTGCGATTACTTTGGAACACGAGTAAAAAGTGGAGACAGAAAACAATTTTCAGTAAAACTTGCCTTGAGGTTTGAAATTGAAGAGTGGAGGAAGAGGACGCCCATTAGGCAGGCGGGTATCTGGGTCCCTCAATTCATCAAAGAAGGGATGAACACAAGCCTCCAACTGCATTACCCACAAAATCAAATCATAAAAATGTTTAGTAACAAGAGTTGAATTAGATCAGCATGAAGGCAAACTTACAGCAGTGCATCTCAAATGCGGGGAGTACTGGAAAAATCGAGAGATCAAGTCAACTGCTTCAGGAGGCAAACGTTTTTGAAAAACCTGAATCACATATAAGATGGTAAGGTAAAGTTCACGGACAAGCAATATCATGTCTAAGAATAAAACAAGAATGTGAAGGCTGAATGTTTTTGCACATGAAAAAGAATTACATTAGACAAGGAACAAAGTTCATCACAGAATTAAATTGGTAGGACTGATTTTATGGGAACTAGAAACTGGATTTGTGCTCTACTTCTGCCCAGATTCCCTATCTTCATTTAGTGTAGATATTGTAGCCAGAGAGGGTGCTGAATTCAAAGGAGAAGACATTGAGCGGCAAGCTCCATTTGTTAATAAATCAGCAATAAGAGACTTAGTTAAAGGCGACTGTCTTGCAACAAAAGTGTAATAATTCTGGATGAGACTCAAGACTTCAACTACAGAGTAACATATATGGTCTAAATCGTTCTTTAAACTACCACTCCTTTTTTGTGGTTTAAAAAAGAATGTCCAAGATTTTGCCGACTTCTTGGAGAGGCTGAATGCTATGCAATAGGGTTAGTGTAAAGAATTATTTTCTAATAAGAGGCGTCGTTTGATATCATTTTGGCCAAAGTTTCTACTTCAGGGAGCAAATGAGAACAAAAGTGTTCTCTGTTGTCACAATACAAGAGGGAAAAGAAATAGAAAGTAGTACCTTGTGCCATGGATGGGGTTTTATCTGTGGAAATTTGAATTCGGTGTAGTTTGGGTTCATGCATTTGATCTCCTCTCTAGTAGGTGTTCCTAAGACCTGTATAGAAATTTAAAATAAAAGAATTCAGGGACTGTAAGCTAAACTATGCAGAAATCAGTGAATACCAAAGAGTGAGTGAGAAACTACCTTTATAATCTCCACTAGTTGGTCAACCCCACTCTCTCCAGGAAACAACGGCTGTACAAGAACATTAATCAAAAGTAGAAAAACAATAGAGTAATCACAAAATATAATTATATCATAATACAACTAGATTGATAGAGTACCTGTCCAAGAAGTAATTCAGCCATGACACAACCCGTGGACCAAATATCAATAGATGTAGTGTATTCATTGGCACCAAATATGAGCTCAGGAGCACGATAATATCTAGAACAGATGTAAGACACATTGGGTTCCCCTTTCACCTGATGTGTTGACAAATACATCAAACTTGGAAAACTTTTCTTAAAAATTAATAATGGCTAGTAACTTATTAAACCAAATATTTACCAAAACTTTTGCACTTCCAAAATCACAGAGTTTCAGCTGATGTGTATGTGGGTTCACCTAGAGGTAAAAAGGGCTTCATCAGCTCATTAAATAAAACAGTTGCAGAGATGATTCAAGACCCCAGCATCCATACCAATGCTAAACACTCCATATTAGATAGCACCAAACATTTTCTTTCTTTTCTTTTTTTTTTTTTTCAATTTTAAGTTAATTGAAAAGCACCAAAGCATGCAACCCAAGTACAAGATCCATTACAATATATCTAAAATCCTCGCCCTACTTAAGACCCAGTTTGGATAACTAGCTTAAAATAAGTGCTATTAAGATAAAACACTTTTCAGCAAATTTAAGATCAGAATCAGTGGTGATGGGTTAAACTTCACATAATTCTATATGCTCCTTATTAGCTGGATAAATATTCAGAAAATTTAAGTAAATTCCTCTAACAATGTCCAAGATTCAGCTAGAGAATAAGCTGGTTTGTCTACTTTCTTTTACTGATTATCATATCAGCACGACAAGCAATAAACAATTGCAGAGCAGTGACACTTTTGATCCAGAAACAATGAAGCAGGCAGGATTAAGAATTATGCTATGAATAACAAATAACACAAAATCTACCATAAGAATGGGAAAAATCCTTTATTTCTGTGCAAGAAAAG